ATCACACAGACTGGTTGACCAGATAACTGTAGAACTGATCGATACAAAGCTGACTTGTTTATACTGTCTCAGGTTAGTCAGTTAAAAAAAAAAAAGGGTTAGCTACAGAGCGACACAGAGGCTGTGAATCTTTGTGGAAAATTTCAACTGAATTCAGCAATAAAAATGTCGACCTGCATTGTTTATCTGGAATTCTTTACATTTCAGGCTGTTTAATTCATGTTGGTGCATCAAGATATGTAATATTATACATAATAATTCTAAAGTTTAACCCTGTACAGTTCTTTCAGTTCGTTAAGGTGGTGTTTCTTTTATGCTTGTGCTTTAAATGTTTTGAGTGACGACTACAGCCAGTGTATAATGACTGTTTGGTTAGTGAGTTCATGTCAAACTGCATTAAGTGGTTTAATCTGTTGTTGTTTAGAAGCATTTTTGGGGGACCCCACAATTTAAGTCTAGGCCAGTAAGATTTGATCCCTATGTTCTCTTTAGTAATTGGTACGAGATTTTGCTGTGACTTGAATTGGATTTTGGGATTTTGGACCACCCTGTTGTGTAATTTGCCTGTCGCACAAATGACATAATTTTTTTTACACACACGACCACTTGCATTTCAGTTAAATCTGCACATGCATGGCAGTTTAGGACCTCAAAGGTTCACACTGGACCTGGTTTCATCAATTTCAGACATGAATGTGAACCACAAAGAGAAAAAGATTGGATCTGAATTGAACATCAGTGTCAGGGGGCAGGTAACTGGTGGACCCAATATGCAGACACACCGGGGCTGGAACACAAAATGAGTTCATTTGACAAACAAAGAGCAGGTTACTGGGTGGAGGAGAGAGGAGACAGAGTTAGAGCAGGTCCTGGACAGGACAGGCAGACAGACAGCGTGGAGCTGGGGACGAAGGCAGGCAAACAGTGTTGAGTTGACAGGAGGCGAGGCAGGCAGGTAGGGGACCGGGTAGTGCAGAAAACTGGAGAACAGGAAACTGGAGCATCAGGTAGCAGGTTGTGGAACAGGTGAGAATTGACAATGAACCAGCGGGGAGCAAACAGAAAAGGGGCGTATATGTAGGGGACTGAACCGGGAGAATACGAGTGTCAGGTGGATGCAATGCTGGGTGATTGTGCTGGCTGAGGACGTGACAGGAGAGGCAGGGGAAAAGCAACAGAAAATCAGGAAGCAAGGTCCACAGACCTTAACAATCAAAGCCTGTAATGTGAATGTACCCTACAGTAAGTGGAGGAAGTGTGAACTTGTCATAATGTAACTCACAAAAATAGACAAGCAAAAAACAGGAGCACTAATGAAGGTTGTGCAGTGCAGACTTTATTCCAGAATTAAACTGACACCTCAGCAACATCTATTCATTTAGTTAAATCGACTGTGATGAGATAAAGCTTTTGTTCAGCGGGCTTGGATGTTACTAGTCTTAAAGACTAATAGTAGCACACAACGACACAGCCACATAATGTGAAACTCAGTCAGAAAGGAGGAGAGTAAGCAGCCAGTCATATTTACAGTATATAGTCTCACTCACTGTGTCAAGATGAGGCATTTTACATTATTTACACTATTCCTGATGGTAATTTGGACACTGGAGTGTTGGCCCTTCAAGAAACCATGTTTACCCTTCACATTACCACAACCACTACGAGTAAAACCAGACAATGAAACACTGTAGTTCTTGTGTAAAACCAGGCTCTCAAGTACAGGATCCCGCTGCCACAGTTCCTGTGAAGATCATTTATAGCTGTAGTGGGTGTGGTGCCACCAAGCTGCCAGTCATGGCAGCTATAAATACAACATGGACTCTTTTTAGGCAGCTTTTCTCAAGACAGACTGCACAGAAATAAAACTTGGGTACAGCATTTAACATTTCTGATGCATTGACTAAAATGAAAAGGTTTCGGACCTCACTCCTATTCCTGAAGGTCCACTTTTATTGTGAGTTTGGGGGTTTTTTGTGTGTGAACAGGTGCTTCAGAGACACTCAGGCTGCTTGAGGGTGGCTAACAGTTTGTTTGTTTTTTAACCTGAGGGCAAATTCACAGTAAACGGTGGTTTTGGAGGAAAACTAGAACTTCCTGTTTGGTTTTACATTCCTGTAGGGATTTATCATAGTGTTCATCCTCAAGGAAGCATGAATGTGGAAGTATGATGACAACACTTCCTGTTGAATTTTCCTATGCTACATTAACAGATATGTTTTGTTTTATTTTTTTTAAACCTGTTGTATTTCTCTTAAAAGTATGGTGAATCTATAGCTAGTGCTAATTGTGGTCTCACTATCTCTCATGTAGAGATTTGGGGAAACGAGAACTTGAGTTAAACGTTGTATTTCAGCGTGGTAGCTAAGGTGGCGCTATGTAGTACAGCGCCCCCGAGTTTCAAAGGTGTATAGAACATGCAGCGTGAGGCCCCTGATTTGTCACAGTAATGACAGTACATCATGTGTGCACTGGGCTTATTTCAGTATTGTGTCAGTTCAGAAGAAGGTCAGAACTTTATAGGGATAGATACGGTATGTGACAGATGGTGTGAAACAAAGGTATCCACCCAGACTCAAACCAGATATGCAAGGATGACACAGTCAGCATCTCAAGCCACTAGACCACCAGGATGCATCCAAACATAGTTGGATTTAAATATTGGCATAGATTCTCCACAGGAATGTAAAATAACAGTAAAAACAAGGTCAGCTCCCACGCCCGTGAGCCAAATGCAGCGGTAACATGCTTTCTGGAGGAGAATTTGCTGATAGTAATAGTTTAGCAATAGTGTGTTGGAGTTGAGTGGGTTTTATTATGAAACTTGGTGTTTTTTATGTTTGGTCCTGGATGCTGATGAAGACTCTTTTAGCACTCAGAAAAAGGAGGCAGGAGATCTACAATGGGAATGAACTTCTCATATGTTTGTGCTTTTCTCTGCCTTTTCTGTCCACATTTTACAACAGCCTCACAAATGGTGGACTGGGAAGTTTGAATTATTTTTCATCAGGTTGTTTAGTGAGGAGGGTTCAGGATGGCTGTTAATATTTTAGCCATTTTCTGCCTGCAACCAGTTGTAAGCTTTTGTATCTGTGTCTTCAGTACTGCTTGTTAAACATGCACAGTGCTGGGTGAAAAGGTGTGCGAACTGGTTAAACCTCCTTTGGCATCACTGACCTCATACAAGCTCTTCCATCAGACCTGCACCTGGAAATCCTTTTCCCTTTGGCTGTTTCTGCTCATAGAATACATGGGACTCATTGTGTGATCACTTGAGATTTACTCTCAAATGTTGTTCCCACACTTTGCAATAAGTTGCTTAATACATGTCTGATTCTTCATGTAAAGCAAAGAGGTTTTGGAAGATATAGAGGTTAGTGTAATGAGAGGAAGATGATAATTGTTATGCAGCCACACTTCGCAGTATGAAACACCACATTTGATCTGAGATCAGCAGTGAAAGCAGGTTGCGTTGTTGTTTTAATGGAGTATGAGTGTGTAAGATTTCTAAGTGGACCTAAATGCTGAAGAACAGCCAAACTGGATCAGCTCCAGGTGTTTTGCAACAGCGCTGATGATGAAATGCCAGCTCCAGTGAAACGGTTACACACAAGGAAAATGTCACTACAGGCCCCAGGGGATCCGAACTGACATGTGGTGGTGACAGTCACCATACAGTGAGCAGCTCGTTGTACTAGGTGAACTGTCAGCAGGTGTTGGCATCTGGATCCATTCACAGAAATGGAAACAAGGTTTACTTTTTGTTTTGATTTATTCACTGCAGGCTTTACAGATACTCTACACACTGCTGTTAGTGTGCAGCAATGCTAGGCATCTTTAGTGTAGAGAGGAGTGGTGTCTTCCCTACTTATTACTGAGTGGGCTAAACATTTGACTTCTTGCTAAGTTAAAGGCTGTGCTTTGTTGGACTGCAGTGCAAAAACATCAGTTAAAAGGCTGAGTGAGAATTCAGTGGCTAATCATGAGAACTACCAACACAGCCGAGTGGAGCAGGAGCATTTCGTCCTCATGCACAGCCTCGTGCACAGCCTCATGCACAGCCTCGTGCACAGCAGTGTTCTGTCTTGTCACACAAGAACAGAAAGAGACATTCCACATGCATACACATGCTTTTTGGACCAGTACCAGTCATGTCATACATATGCACTCATATACACCAGAACTCCCCTTCTCTCTCTCTCTCTCACACACACACACACACACACACACAATAGAGGCTTTGAAAGCCTTTGGACACTCCTCTCTTTGAGTTCAATGCTCTAAACATCTGTAATCCCACAATGGACAGCAGGACAGAAAACACACACACTTGCCTTTCTGTAATTGTGAGATGCACAGCCTCATGCACAGCAGTGTTCTGTCTTGTCACACGTGCACAGCCTCATGCACAGCCTCGTGCACAGCAGTGTTCTGTCTTGTCACACAAGAACAGAAAGAGACATTCCACATGCATACACATGCTTTTTGGACCAGTACCAGTCATGTCATACATATGCACTCATATACACCAGAACTCCCCTTCTCTCTCTCTCTCTCACACACACACACACACACACACACAATAGAGGCTTTGAAAGCCTTTGGACACTCCTCTCTTTGAGTTCAATGCTCTAAACATCTGTAATCCCACAATGGACAGCAGGACAGAAAACACACACACTTGCCTTTCTGTAATTGTGAGGACAGTTACTGATTTAATGCATTCCTAGCCACTTCCCCTAACCTTAACCATCTCACAACAAAATGCCTTGTACACACATCACTGTCAATATCCAAATATGACAGAAATCATCCCTGGAAAAAATGTTTTGGACTTTGTACTTTGAGCTTTTAGTTTGGCTCATGTCTCATGCACTAACTTGGCAGTGCATGAATTTACCTGAAGAAATGCTCTGACCCAGGTTTAGTTTGTCAGGCTTTACACAATAAACTCTGCTTCTCTGAGCCTCTGTTTTTGAAATGCCATTCTGCCCTCTTTGTAGATGATGCATCAGCAGACAGCAGTGCTGAATTCCCAGACAGAACATCCATGATGGAGGTGCGTCTGCAGGCGCAGGAAGATGAGCTCACGCTGCTGAAATCCTCACTGGCTGATGCCCTGCGCAGAATCCGCCTGCATGATCAGCTCCTCCCGTTACTGAAACAGCAGCTCATTGCAGGTGGGTGATCTTCAACATGCGCCATCAGTTCTACAGCCTGATGGTACAGTGCTCAGTGTTGTCCTGGTGACTTTTTTTCACAGCTGACAATTAGGTTTGTAAGGACAGTTGCATACACATTGTAGTACATTCCACTATTAGTTGTGTTGGACTGCCCTTTCCACTAATAATGTGTCTTTCAATTAGGGGTAGTTAGACTACTATAATATATCTATCACTACATTCAGATAGTCCTAGTTTCAGGTGGATGGGCTGCATGTTGGGATCCACACCTCGGTTGAATCAGGTGACGGCTATTCAGTGTTTGAGCCTTCTTGGTCACATGGTGAAGATGTAGCGTCGTGATTGTACTCCATAAACATCCTTTATTTGGCAATCATTAGTTTCGGTGTGCGGGTGTTTTCCTCCTTAAGATAGTTTTCTCCTCCCTGCTGATGTTATGTGAAAAACTAATTGTGTTCACAAATGAGTAATTCATGCTCCTGATAAAAAAAAACAAAAAAAAAAACTTCTATGACTCAGTAATTTGTACTCTCACATTAAGATGAAAGTATTGTAGCAGCAGACATGGAAGGATTATGAGACAGTGGGCCCCTGAGCACAGACATGTACAGGGCCCCACTGCTCCTACATTTCTAGGAGCAAGACTCACAAATTGACTAGTAATCACGTGGTTGCTCAGTCTGTATCTTACTGTTGTTACGCCTATTTTTGCTTGGTTTTGTTTATTGTTATAGCAGTTTGGCATCTTTTTGTGATTGTTTTCTTTTTGTAGTTTTGCATATTTTTATAGTCTTTTTTTCTGTCTTTGAGGTTGTTTTCTGTCGCTTCCTAGTGATTTTGTGTCTCTTTTCAGTGGTGTTGTATCTCTTTGTAGCACTTTTGTCATTATGTGGCTTGTAGTATTCCAGGCTGTCCTTTAAAGGGGAGCATCCAGCAAGCTAGTAGCTCTCTTTTGGTATTAGGGTGCATATGAATAGTGCATCCATTCCTTCATATTAATATGCCTAGGTTTGACATACATTAGGAATCATGGCTAATTTGCAGAGTTTAGGTTTTGTTTACAAACAGTTACAAACAAAAGTATCATTTTGGCAAAATGTAGGTATTGTTTTGGCAGTACCATGTCAAAAGAAACTGCTGTGGATGGTGCAAGTTGTAATCCTTACCCACTTTTTATGGAAATGCTAGACATACAAAGTATTATGTCACTTCAGAAAAACTAATAATCACCTGTCACCACACCCAGTGAACCCAGGTGCAGCACGGGTGCTGAATCAAGTGTGCTGTTCCGATGGTTGCACCAGCAGCAGAAGACTGTCCTCTAGTTCAGCTGGCGACGGGATCCGCCACCCTGCTACCAGGTACTGGACCTACACACCAAGGGCTTAAAAGGACGGGAGCATTAAGGGCCATCATCATTTTATTTTATTTGATGTATTGTCATATTGCTTGTAATATTAGAAGCATCCTGTTCTGTCCAGAGGCTTGGTTGTGTTTACATTATGTGTGTAATCTGTCTGTATGACTGTTCTTTGTTGATCTCAACCCTTAAACTATCTCTAGCCAACTGTCAGAAAGCATTGTGACCAATGGCCACATAGGAAGCCCCATGTTCATGGAGCCCAGACCAGCAACACTCGACAGGTCAACCCAGACAGAGCCCACCCTCCTTGGGCAGGACAGGGTCCCTCTCCCCAGGCGGGTCCAGAGCCTGCAGCTGGAGGATGCCCTCCATCCAGAGCAGCCTGTTGAGGGGACACGGATGAAGCTCCACCGCACCCCTGGTATGGAGGAGGAGGATGAGGAGCAGGAGGAAGATGAAGAAGGAAGAGGGGAGCAAGAAAAAGGCCTGAGACGGACGCCGTCAGTGGAGGAGCCAATCCAGGCCACCACGATCAGAGGCCTCCAGAGGGAGGACTTCCACAATGGAAGCTGTTCTCCAGAGGAGCCCGGCTCTGCATTGGCCTCAGTGAGAACCTCGGAGCAGAACCTCAGTTCCCACTGCGGACCCCTGGCCCCTATTCAGGAAAGAGAGAAGACGCCACTGTGCGTGATCTTATCTCTCCACCGCTGTCTTAATAATAATCATCTGTCTTTTAATTGAACGCATTCCTTTTTTTCTTCAGAATCAACTCTTTTTTTTAATTTCTTTTCTCTAATTCTTTCTCTAAAGCCCAGTTGTGCTGCAGAGCCCTTTATGAAACAATAAGCCTCGGCTTGCCAGGGTGAGATTATGCCTGATGGGGGATGACATCCTCTGTCATCATGTTCACTTAAACCCCCATGTGCTGTCTTTTTCATGTGTTTGAGCAGGGGGCTGGGGAAACATAAAGCTGTAGTGGAACATAATGGCTGTCTTCTGCATACTGAGTGACAGATCCTAGATTAGTTTCACAACAAGCCAATAGAATCTTATGGAAAATGTGATGCAATGGCAATTGGCAAAACAGGGAAGGGTTGGATTCACAAATGTTTGTGGGGGAGGTATGAGTGTACAAATGTAACCTTTTCAAGTGCAGAAAATCTTTTAAATGCACATCTGTCCAAATAGTATTCCTTATAGGCGGCACAGCAGCACAGTGGTTTGCATTGTTGTTGCCCCACAGTAAGAAAGTTCTAGGTTTGAGTGAGTGTTTGTTTATGTGTCAGCCCTGTGATAGACTCGCGACCTGTCCAGGCTGTACCCAGGAATAAGTGGTATAGATAATGTATGGATGGATAATATTCTATGTATCAGAGTTAATATCACAGTCGGCCTCTTTGTCAACTTTGTTGTAGCCACAAAGAACTCAAGACAGTGATAACACAGTGCCACTGTGGATCTGCCATTCACCTGGGTTTTGGACAAACTGCCTCATATTTTAATTTCTTAAATTCTAACCTTTTAATCAGCCCTTTAATGTTGTCTTCAAGTAAATCAAGGACCTCTTGCATGTGGTGATTCTTCTTCACTGTGATCTCTTTTAGTGATTACCTTTCTATTAGCACAGTACCAGCACATTGCTGCTTTTGTTTGTGTGTGTTTGCTTGTGCATGCATATGCTCTTTTGACCAACTTCTTTGTTGTAGCTTTTAAAAAGGCTTCCGTTGATGATGAATAACATGCTCTAGCCCCTCAGCTCAGCTTTGTAATGCTTCTCTATGAAAAGCTGAGGCACTGGGAAAGTCTGTGTTCATCCTACTGCAACTCTATATTCAACACTTTATTTAAAGATTAGTAGGCAAGGCAGTTTTATTTTTATAGAATAATTTGTACGGAAGATGCTTGCCATTTCCAAAGAAAAACACTAACATTAAAACAATAAGCATTAAAATGCAGAATAATGAGTTGAGACAAAAGAAAAATAAAAGTTTTAAAAAGTAATAAAACATAATATGAAAACAAATAAATAAATAAATAAGGATAAAGTTGATTGAATGAGTTTCTCTAAATTTAATTTGGACCCAAGATCTCTGAGTCTTGCAGTTAGTTTGAGATGATAAAATGCTGATTTAGTTATGGCCTTGATGTGGCTGCTGAAGCTCAGATCTGAGCCAATTAAGACATCAAGAATTTGTGCCTTGTCTTTTTTTAACTGAAAGAAATTTAATCATTGATAGTGAATCTAAAGGGCTATTAGTCATTTGGTGAACGAGCCAAATAAATGAGTGTTGTTTATGTAGCTGTGATAGGCAACATTATTGTGTGATGTCATCCAGAGGGAGCATGTGCAAGTTGAATAACAGTGGTCTAAGAATCGAACCCTGGGGGACTCCGCATGTCATGATGATCTACTCAAGTATTTGATCACCAGTGGAAACAACATAATCGTTGTTTTCGAGATATGAACTGGAAAAACTGAGGACTATACCTAATAATCCCAGTCACTGTTCCAGTCTGTCAAAAAAGATTATAATGGTCTACAATATCAAAAGCTGCACTGATATTAAACAGTTGTTTACCTGAGTCAATATTAACACAAATGTCATTTAACACCTCTAACAGTGCAGTCTCAGTGCTGTAGTGTTGTCTAAGGCCAGACTGAAATCTGTCCAAAAGACCACTTGCATTTTAAAGTTCAGAGTTCACTCAAAACAACTTTCTAAGTTTCCCAATAAAACAGAAAATTAGAGATTGGCCTGTAGTTAATTAACACAGAAGGATCCAGGCTACATTTCTTTAAACTGGGCTTAACAACCACAGTTTTCATTGATTTTGGAAAAATACCTGACAGGAGTCGGCCATTAACAATTTTCAGCACATCTGTTTCCAAGCAACTGAAAACAATTTTGGAGAAGCTGGTTGGCAGGGTGTCTAAACAGCTGGTGGATGAATTTAGGTTCTTAAAGGATAAGGCTGGTCATTTTTGATGTTAATAGTATTTTCAGCAATCTCCATACAGAGACTAAAAATGACAATGCATTGCCTCTACTCAATATAAATGTCTGTCAGTGTGTCAGTCCTGGATTAGCTTCTCATCTGTGCTATAGCTCTCCATTGGTGTTCAAAAACATATCAGTGAAATACAACACTGCACTGGGTGACATAGTTATTCATTAGCAAACACCCGACCTGAATGTGGTTAGCTAGCGTAATGTAAACAGAGCATACAGCTTGTACAAAATCTCACACATGCAGTTGACTGACTGACGGAGACTTTAGGGCAAGATAGTTGGGCCAAGTTTAGTCTTTGGGATTATCAATATTAATGTTAAAATCACCCGTAATGACATCACAGACAAAACCTATTGAAATAACAGAAAGCAACTCAGTGACGCTGTCAATAAAAATTGCAGATGACACTGAAGATCTGTTAATTGTTAACAGTAAGAATTTTGGTGTGTCTAGTCGTACAGAGATTTGGGAGGAGGTGCTGGATGCCTGATGTTTCACTTCCTAGATTTGATACCATTGACGTAAATGTCACAGGTTTTTTTTTTTTTGGTCCCATAACACTTCCTCTGGTGATGCTTCTGGTACTGTACAGTGGCATGCCACTAGGAAACAGAAGCACAATAAATCATTAGATACAGTAATAGAGTAGTTATGGTTTACCTCTGTGTCTTTGTATGGGTTCTTGTTCGTTTTGCATAGTTGAATTCAGTTAGAAACCCTCCGCACAAGGACAGGTTTTAGAATTTTGGTTATTTTCACCAATTCTTTCTTCTACAAGTTGAAAATTTTAGGATTATGTTTTGAGTTGAAGGCCCAGTATAAAAGGGAGATTATTAATATGGCAGTTATTTTATATTTTGTTGCAGCAGTTGCAAGGTAAATGGCAGAAATATTGCATTTACATTACAAAGTCATCCATGTGCTTGCATGTATTTGGTTTTCCAAAGTAGTGTTGTCGAAGGATGTTGTGTTGTGTTGTGTTGTGTTGCAGCAAAAGTTGAGCTAAATTTTTTTTTTTATTTTCTGCTGGTCAACCTGCATTGTTTTCTCAGGGCCAACCACTTTGGTGGCCCCACTGTGCTGACAAAATGGCTCCATGAGCATGAGGGGGCTGCTTTATTCCCCCATTATGTTGTGGGGTTACAGGCTAATGGGATCAAGCCTTAGCAAGTAGTCGGTGTCTTTGGTGAGTGCAGTGTTAGTATTAGTGATGACTGAAATAGTGGAGATCAAATCTAAACCAAAATGATCTTTGGAAAATGTGGAAATAAAATCACTGAAAGATTTCAAACACAAACACACAAATACATTCCTGTGTGTACGTGCATGATGTCCTACTTTGCATGCATAAATAGTGGGATAATTGCATTCATCTGTGCGGGATCTGGAGTTTGTTTTAGTGGAAGCTGAAGCAGATTCTTTTTGTATGATGTTCCAGGGTTCGTAGGAACAGCGAGAAACTGGGGAATCCAGAGAGACAAAGGAAGCGTCTTGATAAGAAGGCAGCGTCCTCAACCAACCTTCTCACCCGCTCGCCCAGCTTGGAGAAGTGAGCCTCATCGCCGTCACCACACAATCACACAGCTCACTTTTTCCTCTGGCTGCTGCAGCCTCTCATATCTCATCAAAGAGACACTTGCTAGAACATCGATGTCCCTCATGAATAATATTAAAATTCCTTTCCCATGAAAACAGTCACAGATACACATGTGAATCTGAAGTCAGAAACTGGAGGATAAAAGTTACTAATTGGTATGAAAGGGTTTCACATATCTTTCTCACAAGGTTTTTTTCTGTCTCCACAGCCGAGCTAAGGAGCTGATTGCCAGTGCAGGTGATGCATCTGTAAACCTTTCTGTCATATCTTGAAATTAAATTGTAATTGATATTGCTCTCTTCATAACTTTACTATTTATTGAAGGATTTTTGAATACTTTGAACTGGGCTTGTAAACAAGATTTTTGGCAAGTCTCATAACTTGTGCTTTTTAGGTGTTTATTTTTGTCGACCCAATTTGCATTGGTAACTGTAGGTAGAAAAGGAGAAACAGTTCTCTGTATAATGTAGGACAGTTCAACAGCAGCACAATCTACAGTCTCTTGAATCTCTCTAAGACGGCCTGAACACAAAAATAACTATCACCCTCATAAAAAATGTCAGAGTGTATGATGCTTACGAATGTAATGATGATCTGCATGCTGTAAAGTGAAAGTCTGACAGCATTAGGTTACACCGATCAGCCGTAACCTTATGACCACTGGCAGGTGAAGTGAATAACACTGGCTATCTGTTACAGTGGCACCTGTCAGTGTGTGGGGTATATTAGGCAGCAAGTGAACATTCAGTCCTCAAAGTTGATGTGCTGGAAGCAGGAAAAATGGGCA